CACAAAACATCGGAAGCGAGTCTCTATTTCATCAATCCCACCCCCACTATGATGTGTGGCATCTTCTTCAGTCTCCCCACCCCCCTGAATAATAGATCACGGTATTTAAAACTTTCTCTCTTAGGGATGACCTGTGAGTCCAACCTCCCCTCCCCTTCCCCAAAAATGAACCAAAGACCTCGAAGAACTGATATACAACATCAGGAAAAAGAATAATGATAAATCTCCAACAAAGACTTCGAACGAAAAGCGAGGGAGGTGGGTTAAAACATTACTAGTTTTTTTTCTTGTTGAAATATTTTTTTAAATTAGCTAAATAAATTTTTAAATAGTTTTTTTTCTCAGAATTTATCTTTTAATGATTATTTGGGCCCAAATGCTATATCTCCTCATTTAAATCGCTACCTAGCCACGTTATTTGCGAATGTGCTACACACAATTATTTTTGGCTGGTTACCAAAAAATGTCTAATAGGTATAATTTTTGAGTGGTATAACCGTATAAGTATTTAATAGGAACAAATCCAAGTTCTAATTTTAAAGTAAAAATTCGGACAAGTTTAGAGAGTCACTTATGTCTTTGGCCTTTCTTACAACGTTTAAAAATTTTATGGAAAGAATCTCCATAAATATTCGAGAAATGAGTAAAATGAAGATAAAAAAAAATATTTTTTTGTGTCAACTACACTTGAGAATTGAGCTGTTCTTTTTAGTTCTAAAATAGCATTTGATACTTATAACTTTGATGAAATTAATTAATCTTTACCCATAATAATTTATTTTGAGCATCGCTAAGAAAGTGTATTAAGAATTTGTATAACAACAGGATATACAAACTTCCTCTGTTAGTATATTCGAAACTTTAATNGGGGGGGCGTTCAGGAGATTTTGATAATAAATATATTGTCAACATTATGAGATTATGGTTTGTCCATATTGTGAAGACAGTTTGGTAAATCCAACTTTTGATAAGATTATCCTGAAAAAACTAAAAACATCATGTGTTTCAGCTTTAAGGCAGGATTTACTACTTTTTTCAGTTTCATTTCCACACAAAAAGAAAAAAGAAAAAAATTAGTACTACTCAAGAGCTCAATGCTTTTAACCTCTCACCTTAATTCTTCAAAGCACTGGGTTGCTTAGTTACAAGAATTAGAAAAATATCTTGAAATAAAATTTAAAATTATTTTTTCTCGCATTTGATTAAATATTTATTTTGCAATACCGAAATTATCTTATAACCACAATTATAGTACTGTTTTATACAACATTTAAAAAGGATTTTAATACCGAAATTAGCAATCCTTGGATAAAATACTTAAACAAATGCTATTCATTTGACTCTATATTTCATTTTCAATGCAATGAACCAAAATTCGTCCAAAAAGGTACTTGCACTTAATAATTCAAGAAGTATTAATTTCAGTATTACAATTCATACATTATTAATCCCAACATAATTTTGCCTACGAACCAAAAAATGACATTATATAGTCGCTCTAATAAAAAAAAATATATTTTTGATATATATATATATATATGTATATTATATACAAAAATTATATAAATTTTATATATTTTTTTGACTACCAAATATAAATAATTTCTGTCGCGCGCTAAAAGCGATAATACCTTGTTATAAAGAGTAGTCCATCCAGTGGACCTAACAAAAGAAGGGTACGCTCTCTGATAGGGAGTTGTCAACATCGTTCAATTGGATGCATGTTAATGCACGTGATTTAATTGGTGATGCACGTGATTTGTGGAGCCCAAAATCAATAGCCTCTTATCTGTGGCATCATATCTATCAATTTTGAAGGGATCCTTAGATCAAGGTTAAAGTTACCTCTGCGGTCACGGGTTCGAGCCGTGGAATCAGCCGTCGATGTGCATCATCGTAGGGTGCCTATATCACACCCTTGGGGTGTGACCCTTTTCCGAACCCTGTATAAATGCGGGATGCTTCGTGCACCGGACTGCCCATATCTATCAATTTTCATAAGAGTACTGGCCAAACCTTCACAAGGTTCCACATTCTTTCTTGTAAATCAACACAATTATCTCATCCTCAAGAAACTCTATAAGACAATGCAAAACTGTACCAAGTTCAAATGTACCCCAAGAATATGATAATAATAGATAAAATACAAGTATCTAAACATTAATCTCTGAAGCAGCTACCCATATACAGCAGAAATGAAGAAAAATGTCTGTATGAAGATCTCCAATGAAGAACAAAAACTGGTGTATTCCATTTTTAGAATGCTGCCATTATAATGATAGTTCAAACTAAGGATCTTCAGTTTGCACCAGCAACGAAGAGTTCCAGCCACTCAAAATGCATACCGATTACCAATCAAATCAAACAAGTCTCCACCGACGTACCCTGGGTGCTGTACACTTGAATTTTTCTCACAGTACAGTGTAAGATATCCGAATTTTGGGAATGATCCTTCATGACAAGTCCAGCTTTCACAATCCCAAATTAGTCTTCTTGACCCGCCACCGACTGCACGATACATCCAGATCTACATGAAAGAACCAGTTTTTAGACACTAAATGCAGAAAGAGCAAGTGGCATTCAATCAGTAGGTTCCAGCTCAATGAAGAAAAGTTCAAAATTGGAAGCTTTCGATAGCAACAAAAACCGCATATTTAAGTTATGTTGTTTTTTCTACTCATGCGTCAACACATTGCATTCTGCAGTCCCATTTAAGAGGATAACGTTTCAATAAGATGACTGCGATAGCGAACATCTTAATCTATGCAATTAATACTAAAAGCAAGTAGCGGCACTAAAAGCTAAAAATGATTAAAGCCTTGTGATTAAGACGACTGACTCAATTTAAGCCAGACCACAGATGGATAATCTAATCAAGACCCCTATAAATCTCATCCCATTTGTGTTTTTTAAGGCATACAATCCATCTTATCCTCAAACACTACTACAATTCTACCTAGCATCTTGCACCTTTCCCTCAACTGTAGTCACTCCCAAAACCTACTAAAGAAGATGGCAAATGCTCGTATTGCTAGGTTTGTTACAGAGGTAGCACCACCACAGTTTGTAAATGTCATGAGACACAGAGCCTCAAAGATGCTAGATACCATCAAAGAAGAGGAGAGAGAAGCTGGCACAAGCGAGTCACTTTCTCTGAAGAGTTCATCGCCTTCAGCTTATTCTGCTTCAGCTTCAAATGCAAAAACTTCTAAATATTTTCTCAAAGAAGTTCAGAGGTCGCTTTCTGTATTTGGCAGCTAAAGTCTCAACTTAAGCTTGCTGACAGTGCTTTCAAGTTTTCCTGACCAGTCTATTGATATCTAGCTGTTCTCCTTCTGCAAATTTTCTCTCTTCCTTAGTTACAAAGTCCACAAAGCTTGGTCGAGTCCAAGCTTTGCTGAGACTAGATAAATATTGACTGTATCTGTAAGTAATCTGTGTGAGCAAATGAAAATTCCTCCATCGAACTATCAGTAAATTTCTATTGCTGCTACTTTTAATTTTCCAAAAGTTACTTTCTGTACGGTTAAAAAATTGTTATGCACAGTATGTTTTTTTTATAAAGTATTTTTGTTCCACAAAACAAGCACTCGGAAATGGCTAACAAGCATACAATAAATGCTCTCTCTCCGTGAACTCAGCTACACCTATTTAGACAAGAATATGAGAATGTAAAAACATTCATACTTACTATAAGCAACTGAGCAACTTTACCTCGAAAAAACCTATTGCTCCCCTTCCCTACAATTTAATACTAACTGATCTTGCGCCCGGCGCTTCTTCCTTTTGTTCTAAACTGGTGCTTTCCTCCAAACCCCAAGACCAAAGTTTCATGTTCGGTTTTGAATTAGAGACATTAAAAATAATGAATCGACGTTGACTATAACCCCTAGCCTTCCAAGCTAACGATGCGGGTTCGGTTCCCGCTACCCACTCTACATCTAAAAAAGGCAGCCTAGCGCACTAAGCTCCCGCTATGCGCTGGGTCCGGGGAAGGGCCGGACTACAAGAGTCTATTGTACACAGACTTACTAGTACATCATTGAATATACACTTCCCAAAATTCTTTCACATCCGATTCTTTGTGTTTTTTTAAAACAAAAAGTAAAAATACGAAGAAAAAAAAACAGAATGAAAAGCGTCCATTGTTTAATGAATCTTAATTCTTAACGTGTGAGTGAGTTTGCCCTCCAAATTTAATCTTCAGATACTCCTTTCTTCTCCCTCCCCCTTGTTCTCCTTTGCGAGTACTCAGAAAATTGTTTACTTACTTACCACATTTAAGGCTCTCCTCCAACCTCTGTTTACTTGCTATCAGGAATTCATCCTCCTTCTGCTCCTCATTCCTTTTCCCCTGTTTTAACTCTCCCCACCAGATTCCTCTTTCATTGTACCGTTATCTGATTCACGAGATATCAGCACCATAACCCCCTTGTCCTTGTTCCTCCTCCTGGTATCATCCTCTTGACTCACTGGAGTCACCCTCTCATCTTTACAGCCACTTCCATAGCTGCTGTTCTGCCCAGTAGAGGTATTTCCACATAAAAAAGGGACTGTGCATTTGTAATTGATCGACATTCTTAGCTTCCTTTTCCATTGAACAAAAATGGATCAAATGGAATCTGCTAGCTTCATAAATTACCAGCTGACGCGTTAACTAATATATAGTGACTTTAGGGGTGAATGCTTTTATATTTGTTGAATGAATTTTAATATATTTAACTTATATTAAAAGAATTAAGTACTTTTTAATTTTATTTTCATATTTTACTTAAATAAAATAAAAAGATTTAATTATTGCTTGTAATAACAAATTTTTGAGATTATTTATTTACTTATAATATTAACTATTAAGTAAATATATTCATGTCCTTATTCGTAATTTGATACTTAAAAGCACTTTATGAAAAGCTTGGCCAAACACAAATTATTGCTCAAAAGTGCTTTTCAGAGTGATTAGCCAAACACAACTGCTTCTCTTCAAAAGTACTTTTTTCAAAAGCACTTCTCAAAATAAGCTGATTTCTCCAGCTTGGCCAAACAGGCTATAAGTGTCCATAGTAAAAGCCAGAGCAGCTCGAGTTGAACTGTATAATTAAGGTTAAAAAGCCATTAACTAAAGGTCCTCATTCTTCACGCCATTAACTAAAGGTTATTCAAACAAACAAGTTAAGGCGTGGGTGTTGACATTGTGTTACAATGTTGATCAGTAATATCTGATGAAATATAGTTTTTATAAATATACTGCAGGAAATAAACAAGTCTCTAGCAGATAACCCACATAGAGGTATTAGTAGATGCTTAATCAAGTTACTACAATTCTAGAAAGGTACAAATGCATCTCCAGCGAGATGCCTTTTGTTAACATGCACACAATCAATCACAATAATTGTGCATATGCTGTGAATCACTAAATGCAGAAAGGACATGTGTCATTCAATCAGCAGGTTCCAGCTCGATGAGGAAAAGTTCAAAATTGGAAGCTTTCAATGGCAACAAATGCCGCATATTTAAGTTATGTGTTTTTTTCTACTCATGCATAGACACATTATATTCTGAGGTCCCATATATGAGGATATCTCATCAAGAGGATGACTGCAATGGGAAACATCTTTATATTGCAATTAATATGAAAAGTAAGTGCGGCACTAACAGCTAAAAATGATAAAAGCCTTTCGATTAAGATGACTTAGGCAATTTAAGCCAGACCATAGATGGATAATCTAATCTGCACCCCTATAAATTTCATCCTTTTGTGTTTTTTTAGTCATACAACCCACCTTCTCAAACACAACTTCTACAATTCTACATAGTATTTTGCACCTTTCCCTCGAAAGTCTCTCCCAAAACCTACTAAAGAAAATGGCAAATGCTCGTATTGCTAGGTTTGTTACAGAGGTAGCACCACCACAGTTTGTAAATGTCATGAGACACCGAGCATCGAAGATGCTAGATACCATCAATGAGGAGGAGAGGGAAGTTGGCACAAGCGAGTCACTTTCTTGGAAGAGTCCTTCACCTTCAGCATCTTCAGCTTATTCTGCTTCATCTTCAAATGCAAAAAATTCTAAATATTTCCTCAAAGAAGTTCAGAGATCTTTTTCTGTATTTGGCAGCTGAAGTATCTACTTAGACTTGCTGAGAGTTCTTTCAATTTTTAATTTCCGGACCAGTCTACTGATTTCTAAATGTTTTCCTTCTGCAATTTTTTTCTCTTACTTAGTTACTAAGTCTGCAAAGCTTGGATAGAGTCCAAGCTTTGAGGAGACTAGATAATATTGTTTGTATGTAACCTGTGGGAGTAAGGAAAATTCCTCCATCTAACTAGCAGTGAACTTCTATTGCTACTTCTTTAAATATTCCTAAAGTTATTTCTATACGGCTGAAGAAATTGTTTGCACAGTACTTTCTGTGTTTCTTTTATAAATAAACAGAGCATTGTATTCCATAAAACAAGCACTAAGGAAGGAGTAACAAGCATATATTAACAAGTTATAGCTCAGTGAACTCAGCAGCACCTAACTAGGTCAGAATACGAGAATGTCGAAACGTCCATGCTTAATACAATCAATTAGTAACTTTACATCAAAAGAATCTACTGCTCCCCTTTCCTGCTATATAATACTAACTGGTCTTTCTGCCCAGCGTTTTGTTCTGAACTAGTGATTTGCTCCCAAACAACAAGAAACCATCATTCTTAATGTGTGAGTCAGTTTACCCTCCAACTTCAATCTTCTGACCCTCTCCCCTCCTCCCTCCCCTCTCCCTACCCTTAGACTTCCTTTGATAGTCTAGTTCCCTTGCATTTTCAGTTTTCAGTTTCCCCTGCTTCCTTTTCTCTCCCCCTTCAGTAGTCTACCCATTTTGTGGTTTATTCTCCTTTCCATAAAAAGTTCCCTCATTCTTCCCACCTCTGTTTCCTTGCTATCAGGAATTCATCATTCTTCTTCTCCTCCTTCCTTTTCCCTGATTTTAGTTCCCCCACCAGGTTCATCTTTCCTTGTTGTCTGGTTCACGAGGTTTCAGCACCATAACCCCCTTGTCCTTGTTCCTTTGGTATCATCCTCTCGACAGGCTGGAGTCACCTCTCATCTTTACAGCCACTTCACAGCCGTTGTTCTGCATACTAGCGGCATTTCCAAATAAATAACGGATAGTTCAGATGTAATTGACTGACATTCTTAGCTTCTTCTTCCATTGAAACAACATGGATCTAATGAAATCTGGTAGCTTCATAAATTACCAACTTACGCGTTAAGTGGCCAAAGTAAAGGCAGAGAGGCTCGAGTTTAACTATATAATTAAAATACCATCATAAAAGGTTCTTCATACAAGGCTTTCCTTCGGCCCCCTTTTTTTTTTTTTTGATAAACTAATAATTTTATAAATGTTTGAGCAAAACATGGTCACATACAAGAAGTATACCAAAAAGAAGAAAACCTACAAAACGAGATGGTTTTCCAAGAACGACACCCATTCTTCTACACATAAAGGAATCTTATTGGTGCACCAAAAAGAAATAAGGGATAAAATACTACTCCTTAACTGCACAAAATTCATCTCTACACCCTCAAAAGCTCTCTTATTTCGTTCCTTCCAATCCACCCACATGAGAGCTAGCGGCGCAAACTTCCATGCACTTCGTCTTCTCCTACAAGTTGACTGGTGGCTTATGGTCAATGGAACTAAAAATAATCAGAGAACTCAAAGGTACTATAAGATTATTTGATTTTTCATTTTCCTCTCCTTCAGCTTATCCAATACTAAAAGTTTTGCAAGAATTATTTGTCTTTCTTCACATTTTGATCAATTGTTACTAAAAGAGTGTGACTTTTTAAACATAAAGGAAGAAATTACAAGAATAGCACTAAGCCTGAATGTATTTACATTGTCTGGATGAAGATAACAGCATTAGAAAAGAGATAAAAAAAAGTACAACAAAGCCCCTTACAAATTACCACTGTCAAAAAGAAACATCGGAACACTTTCTTCTGTTAACCATTTTGCACGGCATCCACTAAAAAAGAACCAAGAGCAGTGGTGATAATCCATAGGCAAGAATCGAGAAACACAATCTCATAAAAAATTAAAATCACATAATAACATCGAAATGTAGATACTCACCTATGGTGTAATCATACCTTGCTTGGCAATTCAGTACTACACCGGTTAAGAAAATGGAAGTTATCCCCGCGGCAGCTTTTCACTTCTTTCTGACATTTGAAGACTTCAATCTAATCTTGCTCTTCTGAAACTTTTCCGATTCAACATTCTCTCTAAGTTTCTCCAAAGCTTGAGGATAAGGAAAAAAGAGGTTAAATTAAAAAGACAGAGAATATCGGAAGAGTAATTGCAGAACTTGTGCAAATATTTATTTTCACCAAAAAGGCCAATATGAGATCTCGAGTTGTGTTCTCTTCATAATTCTCAACTACAACCACATTGACCAAACAACTACTCTTGCCGAGTACTTCCAATATGTTGAAAATGGGAAAAGAAAAATACCTGAGGTATACACAGAGTTGAATGACTCTATAACTTCAGAAGAAACAGAATAGGTGGGGCAAGAGTCACAGTCAGCTTTTTGTAACAGCTTCTTGAACCGCTTAACCTGAAATAATTAGCATTAGAGATTCCATATTCAAACAATAACGAATAAAGATAGGAACATTTGCTGCAAAAAGCAAAAGAAAGTTTAGTGATTTGATGTCTCAAATCAAACTCCTTCACCAAAAGTTATTATCTTGGAAATGGTTGTGAAACCTGGTGGTACATGTAGTTAATAGTCAGAGATTACATCATATTTTTTAAGTATGTTCATATATCATACTTATTATCCCAATAAATTGAGCACTGAATTGCTGTGACAGTTAGGAGCACAATATGAGGACTGAAGGAGCAAACTGACAGTGGACGGCGGCTTGGCTTTTATGGTAGCTTATAAGCTTCAAGATCAGACTTCTTTTTCAATTTTGTGACCATTTGATGGTTGGGACCAGCNCCCCCCCCAAATAAAAAGGGTACTTAACTCTCCTAATATCATGCAAAAGTTAGATTTACTACATCAGGTAATTTACAAAATGTCAGCTCCCTTCAGGGACGGAACTTAAATTCATTTTACAAAAATAGATCACCTTAAAAACCTTCACTTCATCATCACTAAAAAACATACCTCGTCTTTGCGTAATAAAGTAAAGCAACACCCACTTTGGCCTGCTCTTGCAGTTCGACCCGCCCGATGAATAAATGTTTTTATATACGCAGGCATGTCATAGTTAACGACATTTCTAACTCCTTCAACATCCATTCCACGAGTCATAGCATCAGAGGAAATAAGCACTTGCACTTGTCCTGCCCTGAAGGCGCTCAACGTCTTGCTGCACGAAAAAAGTTCGCGATATGAAATTGCAATACAGTACACTTGAGTAAACAACAAGAAATACCACAACATTCACACAGGTATTCTTGCACGACAATATGTGTCCTTAATAAACATAGCACCACCTTTCTACAGGTATAAGTATGATGACAAAATAGTTTCTTTATTCTCTACTTCCTTTTCTCTTTTTAGAAAAGTTTTCCACTTAATCTAATTTCCAGAGTTCAAAGCCATAATAAACTTAGGTTGTGACCGAGATAGAACAACACCAAACATGCCCTTTTTCTAAACATATAAAGATTAACAGCTCTTAGTAGCCACTTGGATTAGGGTAGACAGGATTTCTTGTGAGATGCAGACATTCTCATATGGTAACACAAGACTGTCTCGTGATACATTTTTTGATAATGAAGATTGTCTCTGATGAATAATTTTGGGAGCAGGGAAAACTATCCCTTTTGTCACAAAAACCTACGATTTTTACACTTCTAATATAGTACCTTGGAAACCGATTAAGCAGAATAAAACTTATAACAGTACAATAGTAAATCAAAATTGTCCAGCAACGTAGGTGCTCCTTGCATGACTACCTTCAGTTAGCTTCAGTAACATGTGTGCTCATGCAAAGCATCTTCAGTACAGCTGACTGCAAAAGCTCAGAACTAAATTAAAGTTGTTAAGGGTATGTATCTACAGTACCTTCTTACAGATTGACGTTGAAGACGAGAATACTCCTTGAACTCAATTTGCAAATTGTCGAAAAACTTAAGCAAGGTGCATAATCTATGAGTGGACTCCACAGATGATGTGAAAACAATTGATTTCTCCCCTTGCAGACTTTGAAGAAGGGAAACTAGATAAAGTGGCTTAAGCTTCGATTGACATATCTACACGGAAGGAAGGTAAAATCACCAATATCAATCATCTTCTAGAGAAGAACAGTGTCTTCAAAAGCAAAGGATGAAAAAATAACAGCAATTCCAATGGGATCGAAAAGTGAGAAGTGAGGTGCAGACTTTTTCAAATTGAACACATACCTGATATACATGAATATAGTACTTGTAACACTAAATTGCAATTGAAATTGCTAAATTCAGCATCCAGTATCCGACAATGAAAATATTTATCCAACAGCTCAAATTAAACATCATTAAAATGTAATTTAGAGAGGAGTCCTCACACTCAAATAGCAAAAAAGCCCTATTCTTTATTTCTTTTCCTCCCTTTTTTAAAACTGGGGGGAAAAGGATGAAAAGAATGGCTTTTTTCTTTTTCATCTTTCAATGTCAGTCGAATTGCTTCTCGCTGGATAAATTACTTTCTGAAGCACATTGCTTCCTCATAAGGCGATAACCCTCACATCGCATTGCTCCGTTGCTTTAAGCAATGAAGTGATGTTTTTAGATAAACCCTCAGCATTACTTCGTCCCATGAAGCAACGAAGTGATGGCTTTTAGATAAACTCTCACTTTGTATCACGCTGTCGCTTTAAGCAACAAAGTCATGGTTTTTAATAACAGTGGTTTGGAGACGTAGGGAAGACAATCATGTATGAGTGTCTAAAGACAATCCATGAGGTAAATACTCAAGACAGTTTAAGCCAATGCTTTTAGAGAAAATAAGGTGCTGCAAACAGAGATTTAAAGAAAGACTACACTGAAGCAGTAACTTCTGCTATGTGAGCATACCTTCAGAACACAAAACAAAATTCCTCGCCAAATAACATAGCTAAATTAGTAAATCCCTTATGACTTAGGAGACAACAAACTTTTTGTTTTTCTTTTGATAGGTTAGGCAACAGTGAGTTCTAATAATCGTTAAGATAAATTATATGCAATAGTAAACACATTTCAGGCACATCAGGAAAGAGCTGATAATGTAAAAATAGAGATTATTTCATTCAAGTAGCATAGTCCCACCACTTTAAATGATTTGAGTTCTTCAGGCAGCTGGTAACGTCTTTCTCCAGTCGTCAAAAGAAGAGGATGATGTAAATCAAGCTGAGCAAGTTTACTTGGGTCTTGTGTTAGTGTGGCTGATAAAACCATCTTTGCAAGCCTTGGATAGGCTTTGCCCTTGAACCCTCTTTCTGTGCCCCTGCATTAGTTTTAAAGCTATGCTTAAAATAATCCCACACGTGAAATGGACAAAAAGAAAACAAGACAGTGAGATGCCTATGTGCACTAAAACCTATTCGACCCCAAGGAGCAAACTCAATGAACCAGCATCACTTGATGTCTTGATCAAAGGTCCAAACCTTCCAGCAAACTTGCATCCACTAACGCAAATACTTACGTAGCCTTAGTTTCAGATAAACAGTGGATACATTTTCATGATCACAAGAACTAGCAGCTCCACAATGAAAGGGTTTGACAGTCAAAGATATAGTGGCATTGTCATAAAGCAATAAACCAGACTTGAATAGTCAGATAATTACTTCTAGTATGATTAGAAAAATCAAAAATGTCATATCAGGACTGAGGAAAGATGTGCATCTAAGAGGAATTCCACATTTAACCAATTCATAAGAGGGAGAATAGGCATAGAACATACACTCTCCTTATTGTCTTCAATGAACCATAACTGCAAGGAAGAAGATCATCAGCAGAAGGGAAGTTCCCATCAATAGAAAAGCTGGTCAGCTGAATGACAGTAGGCAGCCAGGACTGATAAGCTTCCCTTAATAACCTATCTGTTTCATCAACAACCTACATGATACCATGTAAGTCAACCATTAGGATCTTTTCCTTATTTGTTCTTCAACTTTCTTTTCAAAAAAATGTAAGTCAAATGGTTTCAACAAAGCATAAAAAAGAACAAACGAGCAATATCAAAGTGTGTGCCCCATACTCACAAGACCTACTACTACCACTTGAAGTTTAATGATTAAGTTGAAATAAATCTTAGTTGTTCGAGTTGCTAGCATTCTATGTTTTCCTTTTCAAATAGGAAGGAGGCATTGAAGCAAATAGATAACAAATACATTGATTTTTTTTTTAAATCGAGTAAATATAACTTAATTGTTAATGAGAAAGCTCCCATATACAAAAGGTGTACCAAAAAGTAGAGAGTTTACTGAAAGATATGATTCTCTGCAAAAGACACCTCACAGGTGCACCAAAAAGACATTAAAACAGGAAACTATTTCTCAGATGTACAAATCCAGCTCTTTTGCTTCAATAGCTCTCCTATTTCTTTCATGTACAGCTATTACTGATTGATCAATTTATCGATATAAATGAAGATGGTGGAAAAATATCAAGTTCAGGTGGTTATGGTGACATTAGAAAGCTACTAATGTAAAGACAAATAACCAGCACATGTGCTGCTAAAGCATGCACTTTTGTGGTCTGTTTGTACTTAAGTTGGCATCACCCTATTTCTAGCAAAATTCATTCCAAATTATCAAAAGGTACTTCTCACTTTCCAGTGCCTGGTTTTGCTAGTGGCCTTATAGACTAATGAGATACCAGACCCTAAGGTAAAGCAAAAGTTAGCTGGGACACTTAGCTTCTTAAGATGAGCAAGATACTCACAGACAGAAATGCTTTATGCCACGATATGATAATACGGACATACTTATACCAATATGGTAGGATTCAATTAATGGCAAGAAAAAGATAAGACTTGGGGACTGGTGTAAATATACATACTAAGAAATTCTAAGCAACTAAATAAGCAGCTTACAAGATAGCATAGATGCTTAAGGGTAAAACCATCAGTGTTACTGATGTGGTCCATCAGTCTTCCAGGTGTTGCCACTAATATGTCTACTGCACTTTGTAACTCGTATGAGAATTCTTCAGGATCATAACATATGCCATACTCAACATTAGGTTTCTTGATGAGCTCAGAAATTTCATCCGAAATTGATGACTGACCAACTGCCAAGCCGACGGACAAACCTACTGCAGGTGCAAGAGCAGAGAAAACCTCTTTGACCTGAAAACAGCAACAAATGATAACAACATAACCTTCCTCCGAGAAGTTAGTTATCTATATTTGCATGTTAAAGTGCAAATATAGAGTCATTATATGTATGTATGTATATATATATATATATATATATATATATTCGCATGTGCAGGTGAAAATGTAGACGTCTATTTTTAAAGCCTCTGAGGTACCAAGAAAAAATTCCAACAAATTATTAGATTGCTAGTAAAAGGACTTTCAGGAAAAGCATAAACTTTTAGTTTTTCGGTTTTGGGTGATCGGTAGCATAAAGTTATAGTTCTAAGGCAAAGAAAACCTAGGATCATCGACGTACCTATCAAAAAAGAGAAAGCCAAAACTGGAGGCAAAGTTAGAAATGGAGCAAAGATTTACAGGTAATTGAGAATCTGAGTAATTATGCACTGCACATTTTCCAAAACTAAAACTAAAAAATCAAGGTGAATAACCTGCAAAGCGAGGTCTCTGGTAGGCAAGACCACTAGTGCACGAAGACATTTTACAGCACGTGTAGACAACATCTGAACAATTGGTAACGCATAAGCAAGAGTTTTTCCGCTCCCAGTAGGTGAATTTATACAAAGGTCTCGTTCAAATGAGCCAGGTCCAATTGTCTCTTGCCAGACAGCAAGTTGCACAGGAAAGAGTGAAGTGATGCTCATATTCTTCAAAGCCACCACTAACCTAGTGAAGAAACATGTAGGGGTAAGAACAAGTTGAAGTGGAAGTGTAAGAACTCCAGTATGCAGTGTCACGAAGGCAAAAGGTATTGCAACTATGTTTCAACTGCAGAAATTTATAGACAGTAACGCTTTGAAAGTAATAAACTGACGATATCTGGGATGAAAAATGAATTTTAACTTCAAAAGTGAGATGAAAGGTTAACTATAATTTTCATTCTGCTCATTTCCTTTTCACGGAGGAATGAAACACCTTTTTCTTTTGCGAAGGGATTAGGGAGCGTTATTTAGGTCAGGTAGCAATTTTCACCAACAACGAAAGCATGAAATGATAATCAAATTGACTGCGAGGAAGTATACTCCTATTTTGTAACCTAAATTGATCAGGTCAGTCAAATCAAATTTTAGGAATACTTTGCATGTATGCTTGTGTAGCATTCCCTAATATTTCTTTCCACGACTTTGTAAGAAATAAGTAATGCATGCCAGTAGATTGAAACTTGTTATAATCTACTCCAGTCCTATAACTTGAATAGGATGTACATTAAGGTATGCGACCAAACAGTTTCATCCACCGGAAACTAAGCAATTCGTTTTGATTGTGCATTCCCGGTGTCTAGTTTACAGTGTTAGAGATGTATATAGGTGCCTGGGACAGTGGAAAGTAAATAAATAAATTCCGAAACTTTGGCAGATGATACCAGCATGCTTTTTTTGGTCCATGAGACGAACCATAGATGCGTCTTGAACCTGTTTTCTTGGAGTAATCTACTAATCTTCACTCTGGAAATAGTTTCAATGAGTTTTTTTTTTTTTACTCTGTTAATTCCTTCGAATGCATATAGGAGATCCACTGAAAAGGAGCTAACCAATCTTTTGCTCACTGTTCAAATTTTGGCATCTACTGGATGCATTACTAATATTAACCTCTAATTTACCTGCTTAAAAGAACTGGTAAAAGCTATAGAAATTACAGCACTAACAACATGGAACCAAAAGCTGGTGTAACATGAATGTAGCTGAAAATGCAGACACCCGGTTACCGTTCATAGAATCTTTTGCATAGATAGACAGGATTTACTTTTTATTTGATCAGTGAGTAAATTTTATTGGTAGCAAAAAATAGTCAAGTACTACGCTAGTACTGAACTTTACAAATTGAAAGGCCTCCTGCACAAAAACAAAAAAGGATAGGCCCCTCTATACAAAGTCACTTCTGTAGTGAGCTAATAAAGTCAGTCATGCCTATTGCCTATTTCATCATATATATATCCTGTAAATTACATGAAACTGTAAGTACGCCTAAACACCTATATTCAGGATCTGAATTGAGCTTCTTTCAATCAAAACACTCTGCTTTCCTCTATAAAAAAATGCTGAAAAACAGCCCCCGCAGTTGTCTCGCTGCCCGTTGCAGAGCCAGGAATTTCACCAAGGGGTATCAATATAATGAAGTATACACACAAAGAAGCTAAGGGGATTCCAAAACATAGTATATACTATACATTAATAAAATTGACATACCTAACCTGTGTAATTTTTCGGGGAAGGGGTATAAATTGACATTGTTTACTTTTACTTTTGCTTCTTTTGGATGTAACTTCAGCACTTTTCTTAGTGCTAGCTTTTGACGTCAGTAATACTTACCTTTTTTCAAATAATAAAATGGAACCAAACATTTTGAGAAATCCCAAAATAAATACAATGCCATATAGATTGTGAAACATGATTAGTTAAAAAAATTCAAATTCTATAATTTAAAAAGACAGCACCTATAAGCAGTTTCTCAAGATTAAAGTGTACCTGGGGTCAAGAAAAGGCACAAAATCGAGAGAGCATTGGTCAAAGGTAGTAATATCAATTGGATTTCTCATCCATGGCAATACAGGGATGTTTTTCTTCTCTTTCTTCAATTCCTTTTCTTCCTCCATATCAAGCTCCTTTTTCAGCTGAATTTTTTTTTAAAAAGGAACACCAAAATATTTTTAAATCTATTTAATAAAAATCCAATTATAAACACAACGACCAACCAGAAACAGATAAAATTACTCAATTAGTGCAGTTGAGGTCACTTTTTGTTGCAGAAAATATCCTATGGACAGTAAAAACACATACTAAAATTTATACCTTTAAAGGGTTTTGAGCGTGAGATAGTGAATAATACAGAGAAAGGAAGTGAGGAGCTTGCTGCAGAAAGAGAAGGAAACTGAGCAAAGTTAACGGCGGGAAGTTGAGGGCTGATTGTCCAATTTGGGTCAACTGTTTTACGGTTTGGGTTGGATCCGGCCCGTTTGAAGGAATTTGGAATTTAAAGAAAATTTGCAAAACGATAGCAACATTAGTTAATTACATTTACGGCACCTAAATATTAACATATCATAATATCTTTCAAATAAATGTTCCTAAAATTCATAAAATTAGCTATGTCTATTTATAATAAGCTTATTACAAAAATTAGTCAATTCATAAAATATTACTAATTTTAGCCAAATATTACCAATATTAGCCAATTAGCTATTTGTAGCCCAAAAAAAGTCAATTTTGTGCTTTCTTTTGATTGAGTGTTATTAAAATAAATTTGGTACATCTTAAGAAGTCAGTTTTGGGATGATTTGGTGGAGTATTTAGGTTGTTTGAATTAAAAATTCGAAGTGGAAGATGAACATGAAAAAAATAATATGTGTATCACATTGTGTATCATTTGTGTATCACAAAAGTATCATATTTGTATCAAATTTGAATCACATGTATATCTGCATGCGTGATACGTATGTCACAAAATAATTTTTTAAACTTGATTTAAACTACGAATTTTGATACCAAATCACCTCCAATCTTCCTCAAAACTTGTATACTGACTCGTCTATATGTTTTTAATAAATTTCAACAATACCAATTGAAAAATATTCTCTTTTTCTCATCACCTTGTTTGCTACCTCATCCATAAAATTTCCTTTCCGTCTTGCTTCTAATATTGTTGATCACACTTAATAATATGGAAGGAGATCTTTGCGTGTGATTTTTGGAGAGAAAAAATCTTATTTATTTGATTTTTTAATTTTTATATGTGCTTGACTAGTTTTGGTAAGTCTATGATTGATGGCTAGAGGTTGGCAAGTTAGAATTTATTTGGGACATTTCTATAAGATTTTCATTTTTATATATGGATTATATACTGGCATATACATATTATATATAAATAAATTTTATATTTTTTGTCAAACTAAAATATTTTTATTTAAGCAAGTAAACTTTGTACAAGATTAAATTACACTCGCCATAATAAAATTACCACACTGTCCGAGTATATAATTTAAGTCCTATTTTATGCTAAAAATAATTTATGTTGAGTTGAAGGGAGCAAGTCTTGTTTGTGGAAATTTTTAAAAAATTTCAAGAAGCTTTTGCATTTTGAAATTTGAAGCAGCAAGGCAGAAGTCATTCCTAAATGAGAATTTATAGGTTGCTAGACTTAACCTTCTCTTTCATTAGGCTATCGATGTGGGATTAAACTATTCTGGACTAGAGTTGTGTAGGATTAGGATGGTTATGGATGAAAGTTTGGATTTAATAATAATTTTGGGACTCAAATATATTTGGACTAGAATAAAGGACTGACTGAAAAGAATTCCTATGTATATGCTACTACTTGTTTTGTTCCTTTATTGACTAAGCATCTCAGTCGCCCTAACGGTTTGCCTATTCGGTCCAGCCTCCGCCTGTTTAATAGCTGTTTGGCCAAGTTTCTAAAATCAGCTTATTTTGAAAAGTGTTATTCTCAAAAATACTTTTCAAAAAAATATTTTTAGCGAGAAACTATTTGTATTTGGCTAATTAATTTAAAAAGTACTTTTGAACAGTAGTTAGTGTTTGGCCAAGCTTTTGAAAACTGCTTCTAAGTGTATTTTTTTCAAAAGTGCTTATCAGAAAAGTGTTTTTGGAGAGAAACTATTTTTTTCTCCTTCTCCTCAAAAGTACTTTTATCCATCAAAAAACTTGGCAGTAATAGCTTACCAAAAGACAGTAATAAAGGGCAATACGATGCACAAGGCAGGCATCTCATGTTCACGCATGATTCGGAAAGGGCTGCACCCTAAAGGGTGTGATATAGACAATCTAAAATACTAATGATAAAACAAATATAATTCTAATAAAACTCATCATTAAACGTAAAGATAATAATAAGGATAACAATAGCAATAACACTAATCATTATCATTGTCCTTATTTATATCAATAATAGATAGCTCGAAAGAGAATAAGCAGCCCCCCCAAAAAAGAGAAATAAATATAACATGTCTACAATAGTTTGCTTAAAGGATTGGAATATCTCCAATTCATAAGGTATTCAGTCAACTATATTTTTTCTCTACATTGCTGTTTCATGGTTCGAACCGTGACCTTCCGATCATATGGCATTAACTTTACCAATTGCTGCTATATATCTGCCACTTTACGAAATTCAGTTTATACAAAAAGTAAAAGCAGCTAATCTAAGAGGATAGCTTATTCTATTCTGCCTCGTTTTCATTTCTTTTTTGTTTCTCCCACCTCACTCCCATACTCAGTGCTCTCAAAACATCTAAAACATCCTTCATCATTGGTCTTTCTTCTGGTTCCAGATTCATGCAGAGGAATACCAGATGTGTGATATCTGTTATTCCCGGTCAATATTCCTGTATTTGTAAATATTAATTCTGCAAAATATAAGTTAACGTAATGAAACAATAATAATAAATTCGAGCCCACTGAATTCACAGTGTTTCCTTAAGGAATTTAATCCCCTCCTAGTACCCAAGGTAATGGATTATTTCCTCCCAGGATAGAACGAATAACACAAAGTTATTTCGGTACTTCAAACCCCAGTGTTT